AAGACTATTACAAACCCCTTCCTTTTTCATGTCACTGCAGTAATTTATGCACGGTGGTTTCTCCTCTGCTTTCTCAGGATATACTAATTCAACACGTATAAACATCAATATTGAGTAGAAGGATCTGTACTGTAGATGACATCTACATAACTGAGAGAGAATTCCTTCTCAGTCTCTTCTCCTGCGCTTTGTAGCCACTCAGCAGCTATCCTACAGAACTGAAGGCATAGGAGGAAGTAGATTGGGAAAGTTGGATGTATCTTTGGGTGGCAGCTGGTAGTTTGAAGCAATGTGACCTGGGCAGATATGAACTGCTAGGCTAATAGTAGCGTAGTTTCTTTTTTAAAAAGATATCGAAATAATAATTTAAAAGTATTATTTAGTCCCTAACCATGCTTATTGATCCTCAGACTTGAGGGATTTCAAAGCCATTTGTTCCCTCATTCTTAAAACGGAGACAAAGATGTCTGGGTGTTGCCTTACTGATGTTGTCCATCCTTTCTACACAAAAAATTTGCTTTCTTTTAGCTCCAGTTTCTTATGTGCAGCAAGATTAGATCATCTCCAAATGCCATAGTACATTCACTGTGAGGTGATTGCTTTTCCTGGGCTTAAAGGAGATAAAAGTGTGTATAAGATTTATCATATTCACTCCTCTATAGCCCAGAAGAAGGAACTCATTTAATCTTCCTACAACATGGCTGCACAGTTGCTACTTAGGCATTGCTATTTTAATGCAAACCTGAGGCTGAAATGCTAAACTCTTGTTTTTTTAAATGCATCTGATAATACTTCCTGTATAGATCGGATCATCTTCACATTGACCCCTGATCGTTAAGCACCAGGAAGAGCAAATACCTTTCTGAAGGATGGAAGTTTAATACTATTAGTTGAAGTTGCCATGAACCCACTCAAAGTCACTTTAAATGCATAACTAAGACAACTGCCAGTTTTAATGCTTCTGAGTTGGTAACCATTCAGCCTTTACTCAGCTCTGTACTATTCTGTTGAGTATGAAAGAAGGGCTTATATTTGTAAGGTCCCATGGCCCCTGTACAACAATCATTACAAAAATCCTTTGTGTTTTCTTCATTGCTCAATGCTGTTGCCTTGGAATTTCTGCAGTAGCCTTGATTACTTGAAATCACATTTCTGGACATTTTAATGGCACCACTCTACTGATATATCATCACACTTTAAAAATAGGTGAATATAACTTCATCTGGTATAAATCAGCATATTTCTCAGTGGAGCAAAGGCAGTTTTTATCTGCAAAGCACTTTGCAGAACATCTGATCACTGGCTCAAGTTTGCCTCACTGTGGAAAGCAGAGAGTTAAGACTTGTCTTGAGTGTAATATTTCAAACTGGAAAGCCAATAATGCAATTCATTGCAAGTTCTGTATTGATATTTTTATGAATTGCCAGCATTTAACTCAAGACAGTTCAAGCATGTTTACAGATGTCTAGCTTTACTTAATTTTCAGGAGAAGGAACAGGTGTGCTTCCTAAGAAGGAAGAGGGCTGCCCTAGAATTCGTTCCTGTTGCAGAGAAAATAAATGATTTCCTTTCAGAAGACTTTATCTATGCAGTAAAGTGGTCAAGTATTTATTTTTGTCACTTGGATGAAGTTTATGTAACAGAGCAATGCTTATAAGGATGTAAGTTCCTGGCATTTTTCCATTTATCAATTTTGAAACTGTAGTGATCAAGCATTTACTGAACACCATTCCTCAAATGCAGGGTCTCCACAGCATCTTATTGCATTCATGGAATTCATTTGTTTGCGTTATCTGGCTAACTGGTCCTTTTGTATTGCCAGGGTGATGAACAGATTTGACATTTAGCTGATTACTCCACCAAAATTAAAAGGAAAACAGGGCAGTCATCCAAAGTTCCTTTCAGTGTGAAAGCTAATTATAAAAATGCTTTGAGCAGCAATTTCTTTTTGGATGTTAAAGTGCTTTTATTAGATTGTTCCCCTGTCATTTTAAAATTTATTGCTAGACACTTATAAATGGGGTGGCCTGCTAGGGCAGAATTATTTTATTTTAACTTCTGTAGTTAAGGTAGGAGCCAAAAGGGTACAGAATGTATTTTAGGCAGAATTTGTAAGTTTTTTTTTATCATATTTTGAATTGAAAGGAGGAAACTTAACCAGTGCTGGCTTTTATGGATTTAAGAAATAAATTCTTTATTTATTATTAAGAAAATAATAAATCCACTTATATTTACAATTAAGCAACTTCCCACTTCCAAACACAATTACTTAGTAAATATGAAAAATCAGATATGTAATTTAAAAGTTGAATACAGACCTTGTTTTCTTGGTGGCTTGTGTTTTGTAGTGTATATATAAGCAATCAGTGCTGTTGGAAAAATCCGATCCTGTGCTTGTACTTCTTTCAGAAGCCAATACCTGTTCTCAAATAGCAGGAAACTACTCCAAGGTCATTTTGCTGAAGTCATTGAAAAAAAGTTGGCCAAGTGAATTTCAACCAGTAAATTTGGGGCTAAGTAGTGCTTTATCCTGTTACCAAATCTTATAAGTAGCTTCTTCTGAAATATATATATTTTTTTATTGCCTTGGAATCTCTTTAAATTTTCATACTGACTGTTGTTGTTAGTATCCTTCAGGCCCCAGACAAGGTGTGACCTGGGGAAGTTTCAAGGTGACAAAATTGGGTGTTTTTGCATATGATATTGTCTAGCACACATTGGCTACTGAATCATCTTGTGAGGACATATATTAATTCTTGACACTGAGATCTATTAATATACTGTGAAGCCAGGAGAATGATGTGAATCTGCTGTTTCAAACTGTAGAATTCTGCCATAACTAGGAGGAAATATTTTGCTATAGGTAGATTAATGTTGAAAGCTTGTCAAGGAAAAGTTTAATGTCGAAAATTTATTCTTCCTCTTCTTGCCAGTGCTTCAGGTTCTCTACTGAAAACCATTTGTAATCTACAAGAAAAAATAGGTTTCTTTTTTATTTATCTGTTTTAGAGTTCCAATGATATAGTCAACTGCCTATTAAAAAGTGCATCCCAGTGAGATCTTCCAGAGGCTGATTTTTGCTCCCACCAACCTGAGATCTTTTCTTGTAAAATATATTAATTGATATTAATTGTTTGTGCTTAAAAAATAGTTTAATTCATGCTCATTGCAGGATATAACATTATGTATTAATATATAATAAAAACATGAGTTGGAAATTTGGTAAATATACTTTGTGGAGAAAATAAGGCTTAAGATGTATGTTTTGAGGAAGCTTTGAATAGACAGAGAATGAAGTCAGAATATGTGTAAGATGCTTTATGAGTTTTTTGTTTTGTTTGACTGTTAAAGTGTATTTCAGAGATAAGTTCTTGATAATTTCTCCTGGTATCTATGAAGTCCAAGTAGCTTATAAGGCAACTGACTCCATGCTCTTTCAGAACATCAAATAAGTAAAAAGATCAGTTTTTAAAACAGATACTCAATGAAGTTTGTAAACTGTCCCTATAGTTTATCCATATAAAGATTTTCGTTGGTGAATTTCTGCGAATTTGACATTACGTGCATCTTTTGGGATGGACTCGATGATCTCAAGAGGTCCCTTCCAACCCCTGTAATTCTGTGATTCTCTCATTCATGCTCTATTTGTTCCCTTTACACATGCTTGAATAGTATGATGTATGATTCAGGAACATGTAAAAGTGGGGTAGAAGCAAAATCCTGTTACTTTGTAAGTTCTTAGATTGTCTCCTTGTACACAGAGGACCTTCCTTTGCTGGCTTCAAATGTTAACAAGTAACACATCTGTGCAGTTTAAGCATCTTGTTGGCTCCACTCTGGTCCACCCTTTCATTGTGTCGATGAATCTCCAGTAATTCAGACCAGTGTGTGCATATGTGATGTATTCAGCTAATCTACATAAACAATGAGTTTAGAACACATCAGACATTCTAAAAGCATAAATCTGTGTAACTTTCAACCATGTTTCTGTTCCTCTTCTGAATAAACAAAGGATAAATGGACCTAGCTCTAATACAAAACCCACGCATACTCATCTGTCATGGTTTATGGATCTGTCTGTAGTGGTACTTTCTGAACCTGCAACATGTTCAGAAAGTATTTGGCAAAAAATCTGCCCATGTATGTCTTTTTGCACACTTGAGCTCAGTTCTCTCGATGGGATACATTCAAAAGATTTTAAACAAGTCTGAGAAGAGCAGCAGTTAACAAATGCTTATCAGGGCTTATTTTTGGAGGAGTGCTTTATTGAGACTTCTGTCACACAGAATCACACACAATCACCCGGGTTGGAAGGGACCTCAAGGATCATGTAGTTCCAACCCCCCTGCCTAGCAGGGCCACCAAACATCCACATTCAGATCAGGTTGCCCAGGACCCCGTCCAACCTGGCCTTGAACACGTCCAAGGACGGGGCATCCACAACCTCCCTGGGCAGCCCGTTCCAGGGCCTAACCACTCAGAGAATAATATCTTTTTTCTTTTGACAAAAATAATGTCAGCAGAATGAGGGAAAATAGCTTTAAACTGGAAGAGGGAAGATTTAGACTAGATATTAGGAAGAAATTCTTTACTGTGAAGGTGATGAGACATTGGAATGGGTTGCCCGGGGAAGCTGAGCAACCTCCTCCCTGGAGACATTCAAGGCCAGGCTGGATGGGGTTTGAGCAGATTGGTCAAGAGGGAGGTGTCCATACCTATAGCAGGGGGCTGGATTTAGATGGTCTTAAAGGTCTCTTCTGACCCAAACCATGCTGTGATTACAGGAGAAGTAAACAAAAGGCTTTTTGTTGGTCAGCAAATTTTTGTGCTGAATTCAGTTTATTTTCTGAATTGAAACTTCTTATGCCACCAAATTTAAGTCATTCAAAATAAACTGAGTAGTTAATCCACAGCCCAGAAAAGATGACTGTAAAACCCCTCTGTGTTTGCAAAAATATTTATTGGAGTATTTCCAACCTCTACCTATTGTTTTTCCATAGGTCGATGGAATACTGTGCCTGGCTGACATTCTTACTGATAACACCCATTCAGAAGCCACTCATGCAGAAGCAGCGGCAGTAATTGCACAGATCACATCTCCACATCTCACATTCACTCAACATCTCAGCAGCTTTCTGGAAAACATGGAAGAAATTGTAACAGCGCTTGTTAGTAAGTTCTTCTGAGTCTTTCCAGTTAAAATTGCAGCTTAAGGCTGGGATCTGCCATTAACCGCATTCTGTAAAGAATGTTTGCTATTCTCTGCTTTCCAGATTAAGGAACTTGGCCATTTTTTAATTCTGAAGCTGGGCGTTCTGCACTTACATAATAGTTTTAACTCCTGTCCATTTTTGAGTAAAATGTATGCGTATTTATGAAAATAATATCCATGTGCTATGCTACCATTAGAACCTCCAAATGAACTGAGCCAAGGATCTTCCTGTCTCATATTTGTCTCTAAAAGGGTCTTTTCTAATTGTTCCTTTATGACTGTTGTGTTTTCTATATTTGCTGTAAGTAGACTGCTAGAGGCATCTGAGCAGACTTTAGATGTATTTAGCAGTTATTGCAATGCACTATAGTCGAAGTACTACCTTAATAAGCCATCTAGAAGGGATTAGCAGGAGAAGAACTTCTCTGATTGTCAGTGCTCCAGTTTCACTTCAATTTTAGTAATATAAACTCTGCTCAGGAAATGTGAGCATTAAAAATAAACCATGTGTAACTTTGGGAGAGCTGTTTCAATAATCACACACCAGTATCCTTTCAATATTTATAGCTCAGTAATCGAATTACTGTAATATGTTTAATTTTTAAAACAGTCTGGAGTGTTATTGCCAGGTGATTCAGATCTTACTTAGAATATATGTGTGCAAGGAATTAAAAGATAACCATGAATTCAGCACTTCTTATCGAAAATGGAAAATACGCAGGATGACTACAAAGTAATAGGCTTAGAGATGGGCAAAATGTATGCAGTTTGTTCTAAAGAGCAGGATATATGGGTGAAATATTCTCTTATGGATCAATTGCTGTCAGCCTTCTGCCTGTAGTATTTCATCTCATTTATATCAAGGTGTTGAACAACATTCAGTGGAATATTCTTTGTAGAATGATATACTAGGTAGATATTCTCATTACTTAGATGAATGCTCAGGAAACAATTGCTTTTAGTGTTCAGAAGCACAAACGAAGATGTCTAATGTTATTAATGTTTATAAAGCACCCTCAAAATGTGACGTAGTATATAATTTCCAACTTAAGATTTTTTTTTATTTTGTTTTGTTTCTGCTTCTGTCTTGAGCATTACAAACTTGGCTAAGGATTACTAATGCAAACTGCAGACAGTTAAATACTGCTTTGAAACAAATGTGTTTTTGCAGCGAGAGGATGATTTTTATTCAATTTATTCTCTGCATTCCTAGAGCTGTGCCAAGAAGCCTCATCTGGTGAAGTTTTCCTGCTGGCTTCAGCAGCTCTTGCCAATATTACTTTCTTTGATACTATGGCTTGTGAAATGTTGCTTCAGCTAAATGCTATGAAGATTCTTCTAGCAGCATGTTCAGACAAACACATAGTGGATACTCCATATTCCAGAGATCAGGTGAGTGACTTCTCAGCAAGATACTATGAGCACATTTATGCAAAAATCAGTTGGCTTCAGCACCTTGTCTGTCTTGATGTAGGCAAAACTAATTTGATTTCCTATCTTCACTTTCGTTCATCCTAACATGTGGCTTTTTCTTATCTGTGCCCATTCTTTTGCATTCTGAAGTCTGAATGTGGTTTTATGAGGAAAAAAAGCCACTTCCCATATTTGTAAGATACGGGGATTTATTTTTTTCCACTGTGAAGCTGGTCAAGCACTGACACAGTGAACTAGAGAGGTTGTGGAATCTCTCTTTGAAGGTATTCAAGACTTGGCTGGACAAAGCTCTGACACCGTTAAACTATATAGATATATCAAGGCCTATGTAAACTATTTGAAGTTCATTGATGAATTAGCTCCAAGAGCCGAATAAGAATCTGATCCTCAGCCCATTGACATTGGTGGGCTTTGGATCAAGTCCTAATTACTGTCCTTCCTGTGCTGCTGTATTGGTGCAAACAAGACCTCAGTTGTGGTGTGGTTCTAGACATGGCTTTATACTGTTAATTCATATATATAATTCTTCTTGACTTTCTGTCTTTGTTCTTCATATATTCTCACAATTTGAATTCCTTATTTCATTATGCCTTCACCTTTGTTCTGAGTGAGATGGCAGTCTGCTCCGTGGTGAGCCCTTTCTTCAAATTAGGAAGGCAGACATCTAAAGAAATGTTTATGACTTTATTAGGTAACAGATGAGTTAGAGGCCTTCTGAAGATTTGTTGGTTACAAGACATCTTATTATCTATCTAGATTAAGAAAAAACTTTGGAATGGCTAGTGATTTCCTCTCAAGCAACACCTTCCATTCCTTCCTGGAATAAAAAAGTAGATAAAAAAGTTGTGATGGCATCTGTGGTTTGTCACAGTAAGTTCCTGAGCTGACTCCTACTTATTTCTGCAGTGATGGACCTGTGATATGGTGGGTTGCTCCATTACTGAGCACTGGCTGCTCAGGTGGAACTTGAGTGCTGCTCTGCTTGACTTTAAGAGCTGTTGGCATTACTGGTCAAGCAGATCTGATAAGGCAACAGCCTTTGGAGAATTCTTCCTTCCAAGTCCTGAACAAATATGTGTTTGAGTGGATTGTTTACCTTTCAAAAGCATAGTTGTTTTAGTGTTCTATTAAAGGGCAGATTCTGTCAATTATCTTAGCTCTAAGGAATACCTTGCATTTTAATTTTCTCTGGCTAGTTGTTGCAGTGGGGATAACAGAGACCTGGCTAGGGAGAAAAATAACAGTACATTTGTTTTCAAAGGGTATTCTAAATTGCTGTTTTGACTTTTGATAGAGATACTTTAATTCTGTTTATGTACATAGTACCTTTTTCATATACATTGTCTCATCTGCTGTACATTCACCTAAGGACATAAAGTTAATTAGGCTTGGAAATTCTTTATTCAAAAATTTACTTTGCAATGTGCTACCACTATGGATTACGCTTTTATGGGCAAATGTCCATTCTGAATGATCAGATCATCCAGTCTGCTGAAATAAATACAGCAGAATTAAACTATACTAACTGTTGAAGCAGTGAAAGAACAAAGAAAGAGCATTCATAGAAAATACAGCAAAATACAATCTAATAATGTTAAAATGTGATAAAGGAGCACATGAAACTTAGAGCCCCATTTCTCACATAGGACTTAAAATAAAACATCGTACGCAAGTAAGGAAAAGTCAGTCTTCTGTTTTCATCTGTGCCATTTTCTGTCATCAGAAAGTCACAGGATGGCTTTCCATAAGCCTTTCTAAGGACAACTAGCACTGATTAGTTGACAGCCTCCACGGTAGCATGAATAGCACTTCACTCAGGAGCTGAATGTCAAATGCATTCTTTGTTGCCTGCAGAAAGTAGTTTTCTGCTTGTGCTCCTCTAGAAATGTTTTGTCTTTTGATTTCTGAGAAGCTGTTTTATGCAAATGATAAACTTCCTGCCTTCACTGTCTGAAAACTGACTCCCTCTTTCACTTTCCAGATAGTGTTAGCTTAGATGAGGTTAGAAACCAAAAATCGCATTGTTGGACTTAATGACAACATAATAATTGACCATGTAATAGCAGCAGCAGGCATTGTTTCTGTAACCAGAAGTATTACAGTGGAATTGCTTATTTTTATAACAGAATGCTTTGCATAAGAGATGTCAGATGAAGCCTTAATTTCCAGACAGCTTAACCTCTAGTTTTCTGTCAAAATGGATGCAAGTGTGTTCTCTGTTATTTTTCTTAATGTGGATACTTTTTTTTCTTTTTTCCCCTGCATAGCAGGTTTGCACTTTAAAGGCACATCTTTCAGACAGATTCCTGCTTATGTTCATGTAACACGTATGTGTTTAATGTGTGTGTGTATATACATATAATGTCAGATGTCTTAATGGAGAGAAAGCATTGTCAGAAAAATGGTTCTAACAAAAATCCTTGTCATTTAGGGCCCCTTTCATTTTAACCACCTCTACATAGAAAAATATGAAATATGTGTGTTTGTGCAAGGCACATTTATATAAAAGATTTTTTTTTCTCTCTGCATTCCCACTTGTCTCCTCAGTGTTGCTAGTATTCTCACCTCACCTGTGAAGCTGTGGAGGTAAAGTCTAACATCTTCTGATCTTCTGTTATTCAAGCGGACAAAGAATTAACGTGCAGTGAACACACTGATTTTAAAGTGCTTACTTCTAGGTCTAAAGTCAGTGAGTTATTTTTTGAAAAAGTTTTAAGTGGAGAAAAGCTTTAAGCTAGAAGGTGAAAATCAATATAGTTACTGCTTTGTTTTTGCTCTCTTTTTCTTCCCTCTCCTAAATTCTTCCCATTTTCCTTGGCATTTGGGAGATGCTGCAGGCTCTGAAGCTGAGATCTTCTTTCTCAGTTAAGGTTGGAATCTCTTAACATTTTTTCCCTTGCATGGATGACTGCAGGGTCAAAAAGTGAGCAGAGACAGATATTATTTGAAAGTCAAGAAGTTTAGATGTTTAAATGATGCCTAGCTCTCAGTGAAAGACTTTGGAAACATTCTTTTTAAAGAGAAGAATACTGAGAGGACCTGTAGACATCTTATGAAAATTCCTGCCAGGTTGCAATACTACCTCTCAACCTGTCTTTCTTGAATGCTGAGGAACTTATAACTCCTTGTCAATTTCTTTTTGTTTTTGCTTGTCATCATGAGGACTGTTAGACTCCTGACTCCATTTTGTTAAACGGCTGTCCAGATTTTCCCTTATGTTTGGAAGTCAGTATGGTCTGAGGAGAACTTGGGGCTCAGAATGGAATTTGAGCAATGAAGTCTGTGTAAGATGCCATTTTCCCTGCACCTGACAGAAGTAGGAGATAAAATCATTGCTGGTGAGGAAGGCAGTTAGTGGAGTCTTTCTTGCTTCGGTTTTCTAAGTTCTAGGAGCAAAAGAATAATGTGGGAGGCTGCCTCTCCTGCTTAGTCAGGAGAGGAATATCCCTTCTGCTGCTGAACCATCAACTAACTATTCTTTCATAGGGAATAAATATGTGTGATACCCTGGGACTTTGTGTCCTATGGCATGTTACACAAGCAGCCAGGGACAGAGCAAAGGTTGGTGATCAGACTATTGGGTCTGGCTGCAAACTGTGTTTGATAAACTGTGCACCAAAATTGTGCAATCTATTCTAATGTTTACTGCATCATGCTGAGAAAACATGTTTTCAGCTAATGCAGTTAGAAATGGAGGTGATACGTTACATAATTAAGTTTTTAAACAATATATTTAAGAAATTAAGCAAGAAACAAGACAACCACTAAGATGCAGAAATGAAAACAAGGCCCAAAGTCACATGTCCTTATATGAACTTTATGCCATTATATCACAGATATCTCAATTAATTTCCTCTGTAAGTCTGCAATTGTTTTCCCAGTGTCCCTTATTATTATTATTATTTTTTTTAAGAAAAATAATCTCTTAAACACAAAATGTTTTTGAGACAAAATGTCTGTTTAGTTATAATTCTGCCCTGCATATTCAGTTTAGATGCAGAAAATGCAACATCCAGCAATATGCAAAACAAGAGGCACAGTTGAAAGAGTGAAATTCTCATGTCAGCTGAAGAACTCTTTGCTGTTCTTTGCTAGTGGCTAGGGTTTTATTCCTGGGATCAATTCCCAATATTGTTCCTACTCTGATTTTGAAGTAGTAATTTAACTTCTCAGCATTTCTGTTTAATCATCTGTAAAGTTGGGCAGACAGCGCGCTTACTCAGTGTAAAGCCTCTCTGGAGGAAACATGTTGTGTCAGCACAATTCATTGCAGTTTTTATTCTCAACCCTTGCCTGCCAGGTTCACAGTACAATCAGGCTGGTGCAGGAGTAGAGCTAGTTCCAGCAGAATCTAAACAGGAGACTAACAATCATAAAGCTGCAAGTCTGAGCTGGTTGTGTATGTATTTTGCTACTTTTGTCTTCTTGGCTTCATTATAAAACGTGACAGCAGACCTCTAAAAGTCTCTTTTTCCACTCATCATTTTTTTCCAAAAGAGTTATCACTACCGAGCTGAAGGCTGCAATTTCAGTCTCAGTTCTAAGCAGGTGAGCTCATATCAGCATTTCTACATACTGTGATTCCTTTTCTTCTGTTTGCTTCTCAGATAGCTAACTGATACTTTCTAGGATAAGCACCAGAATTGACTTCCCGACCACTGTGCTTGAGTTAGTAGCAGCTGAACTAGATCCTGTGCTCTTTCTCACTTCTAAAGTGGGAGTGATTAACTTTTCTCTTACAGACTCAAACCATGATTCCGAGTAGACAAAATAAAATTGTTTCCTACAACTGTGCAGAAGCTTAGGCCAAATTGTTCTCTGCTATGGGGAGACCAGGTGTCTTGCATTGACTGAATCAGTTCCACAATCTAAGAAACTTTCTAATAACACAAATAATATCTTAGGGATGATCTTTTTTCCCCAGGTTTTCATCTGAAACAAAGGAAACTGTGGCCCAG